ATATATAATATATAACAAATAAATGTGTTAATTTCTTGTTGGTTCACAATCTAAATTCTCCCTCTACTGTTATTAGGCTCACCATGAATGGATCAAGCTGCACGCTGTTGTTGCATGATTTGTTACAGTTGAGAATATTGTGCAATGCATGGGCCACTGCATACACTCCTTTGTAAACATTATTAATTATGGGCATGAGAGACATGTCAGTGAAGCTGTTTTCCACTCCAGTCAGATCCTCATGTCCAGTACATTTTCTTTGAATCTCCTCTGATTGTGTCTGATTGAACTTGCAACTGAATAATGCCTCCCAGAACTCTGTGAACAAGTCATTGTTGGATGAATTCAGTTGCTTCACATCCAGTATGAACTCTTTCAGACCACTGACATGTGCTTTAGGGATGGAAAGTCCTATAGCTCCATCCAGGATGTGATTTTTATCCATTGCTGCAATTTGAGAATCAAATATCCACGACTCACTGCCGACCCATTGATACCCTGTTAAGTTTTGAAGGGACAACTCATGTGAAAGCATCTCCATTTCCTCAGGAGTGAGAAAAGCAACAATCACCTTTGCAGTTGAAGTTTTAATAATGTCAATTATCTTTTGTATTTTTTCAGATGAATCTGTTCTAAAGAAAGAAACAGAATATTCCAGACAGATGCCCAGCTGCTCTGCAGTTTCTGTAAATGTTGCCATGCCATTGTTGCCATAATCATCATTGGTTCTAACAGCTCCAACCCAGGTCCAACCAAAGTGTTTGACCAAATGAGCCAGAGCTCTGCTCTGATAGTAGTCACTGGGAATAGTTCTAAGGAAGGACGGGTATTTGGATTTATCACTGAGACAGGCACATGTAGCAAAGTGGCTGATCTGAAATTAAATCAATACAATAAAATACAAAATGTAAGAAATTGGATTATACAAATATAACAATCACACGTATCTTTTTTCTTTACCAGGTGAAGAAAAAAATGATTGCTTTTCTATAAGCTCAAATTAACTTTATCAGTTCCACTCACCAGTGGGATATGAAAAGGTCCTAGAACAGTAGCTAATGCTGTGCTGGACGAGGAAGAGTTTTCTCCTATTATTGCCTGCACTCTTACAGGTCTGAGGCACGGCTTGTCAGAGCTTAAAGACACATTGTCATTACCATTGTTTAATGCAAGTGCAACTTGTATGCTTCTCACACTGGACCTGCAAGTGTCATAAATATTATATCCCAGAGAAATGCCTGGAAGTAGGTCTGTGCTGTTGTTAATTTCTTCAATGGCAAATCGCATGGCTTGAGCAAACTGGAAGTCTCTGAAATTTAAACTTGATTCAGACAAACATAATTGTAACAAAACCTTTTCTTTGAATACCTACTTTTTTATGTTAATAACTCAATTTAAATCAGAGAGGCACATAAACAAGGCAAGATAAATGTTATATT